AGGCCTTCGACCTTACTTGGTCAGAATCTCACAAGCCACTCAGGCAATGATGCTCAACCCAAAATATCATTTAAAATATCAAAAACGAGTAAAGATGGCTGAGTTGTGAAAACAGTAGAATATAGCATGACTGAGTACAAATATGAAGTCAAACAGTAAGGAATAGTAGTAAAAATCCCCTAAGGGTTCAAAACAGTTAGCACGGAGCCCAAATATGGCATTCGGCCCAAAACATGATGATAGCAAACAATTTTCAATCAAATACGCGGTTAAACAATCATACGGGATGGAGTCACAATCCCCAACGGTGCACGACCCCACGCTCGCCTTCTAGCATGTGCGTCAACTCAAAATAGCATATCGATATGAAATCCGGGGTTTCGTACCCTCAGGACAGCATTTACAATCATTACTTACCTCTATCCGGTCCAAACTCTAGCAGTGATGCCTTTGCCTCTCAAATCAGCCTTAACTCGCGTCGAATCTATCCAAAATCAAAATCATGACGTCAAAATATATCAAAGGAACGAAGCCCATGCGATAATAATAAAATTACAACACAAATCCCAAAATTAACCAAACCCAACCCCTGGGCCCACATCTCGAAATCCAATAAAATTACATCAATAAGCTCCTTATCCTCCCACGAGTGCATCTATTTCAAAAGTACTAAAATCTGACCACAAATGACCCCTCAAATCCTTAATCAAAGGTCTCCAATCTCAAGCCCTAATTTCTTCAATATTAACCCACAAATTCCATAAATTTCAAGCCTAATCAATGAAATATCACCATAGGAATGAGTTTTATGTTCAAAAATCTTACCTCAATGAAGTTCCATTTGATTCCCTCTTCAAAATCCACCAAAAATCTCCAAAATCAATTTAGAAATGGTGAAGAAAGGCTGAAAATCGCGAAGGAGGGTTTATATACTTTCTGGCCTAGGAATACCCCACCTGCGGTCCCAAACACGCACCTACGTGATCGCATCTGCGGCCAAAGCATCGCAACTGTGGTTTTCACTTATCCTCCCTTTTTCGCATCTGCGACCGAACGCCCGCACCTGCGCTATCGCAGGTGCGCTCCAATAGCTGCTTTTGTGGTTCCAGCTGAGCTCCCTCTTGGCCGCTTCTGCGGCTTATCTTCCGCTTCTGCGGGCATCGCACCTGCAGCCTCCTAATCGCAGGTGCGGTTATGACAGCAACAATAAACTTCAGCTGCCAAACTCAACTCCAAAATCTCTCGTCAACCACCCGAAATCCCCCCGAGGCCCCCGAGACCTCAACCAAAAGCACGAACAAGTCATATACCACTATCCAAACTTATACCAATCTTCAAAACACCTCAAACAATATCGAATCAACCCAAAACATCGGATTCAAGCCTAAGATTCCAAACATCTTCTGAATTCCTCTTTTGATCAAAACGTCTATCAAACTATCTCCGAATGACCTGAAATTTTGCACACACATGACACAATGGACCTACAACAACTTTTGAAATTCCATTCCGACCCTTATATCAAAATCTCACCTATCAACCAAAAAACGCCAAAATTTCAATTTCGCCAATTCAAGCCTAAATCTACTCCGGACCTCCAAAACACATTCCGATCACACTCCTAAGTCCCAAATCACCACTCGAAGCTATCCGAACCATCAGAATTCACAACCGAGCCCTTTTTTACATAAGTCAACATCCGATTGACCTTTCCAACTTGAGCTTACTCAAAAAAGGCTAAGTGTCTCAAACCTTACCAGAACCTCTCCGAGCTCGAGCCAACCAACCTGATAATACATAATACAGCTGAAAAAGATAATAAAAAGTAGAAATGGGGGAAACGGAGCGGTAACTCATGAAACAACCGGCCAAGTCGTTACACACCACCTCTTTGCCTTTACTACTTTCATCAACTTCATTAAACTTCCTGTGTAACTTAGGATGAATTACCCAACAATCCAATTCATTATGCCTTTGCTTCTTACAAGTCTTACAATACTTTGGCATGTAATCATATTTAATCTTGATCCACTTAAATTCCTCAGGCCTAGATTCATCTTCCTCTTCTACTATTTTAATTTGTTGAGGAAACATAGCTAACAAATTAACCTCAACCTTAACCTTTGCACAAGTAGGACTAGTACCATTTTGAGTTGCAAGATTAACATGTAAGGGATTGCACTTGCCAGTGAGAATATAAATTCCTTACCAAAGAAGTTGGGTGGCAACTTGGGAAAGTTAATCTAAGCTAATGCAATAGGAGTTTCCTCCTTAGGCTTCTACCATGGATTTCACTTCGTGCACCTTATTTTCCACATCTCTCCTTGAGTTTTCAAGTAGAATGCAGGCTTTGATAGAAGATGAACATAATCCTTCGTTAATAACAGCCTTATCAACACATGATTATCTTCGATTAAGCCTATTGAATAGGCTCTCTTAAGTTCACATTGAATGGGAATTACTTTACGTAGTTCATTAATCACAGGCTTCCCATAAGAAAATTTTCCAAGAACTGCAGTTGTAGACCTTGTTAAACGATTGATTGTTTAACTTCTTGCTTCTTCCACTAGATTATAGGTTCACCATGTAGAAACTTAACAGGTTTGATTAGTATTTTAGCTAGGGCTTGCATGGGCGCATTTAAAATGCTTTGGGTAGTAGTAATTGTGCGTAGTTTTGGAGTAGATTAGGGTAGGTAGATGTTGTTTGGGGATGTGGGGATGGTAGGGACGACTGGCTAGTGGCCGGAGAAGCCATTAATGGTCTGCAAGAGCTTTGTGCTTGAGTCCTCGCAAATCACCTGTCGCCAGAGCTCTCTCCTCATGCAATTTTAGGGGTTTTTGGTTTAAATTAGTGATTTGAATTGGAGAAATTGAGGATTTTTGTAAAAACTTTCTAAAATATAAGATGATGATTTGAAGGCCAATTTGATTGCAGAATTGGATAATTTTTGTATGGTTAGACTCGTATCGGAATGAGTGTTCGGATTTTGTTAGTTTTGTCGGGTTCCGAGGTGCAAGCCTGAGGTTGACTTTTTAGGTTGACTTTTTTGTTTTCATTAAAAATTGAAACTTTATTATTTGAAATTATTTTCTATGGATTTTATTTGTGATATTAAATTATTTTGGCTATATTCAAGCTGTGTGGAGGTTATTTTACACGAGAAGGTCATTTTAGAGTATTGACTTAGCTTCTTTGAGGTAAGTATCTTGCCTAACTTTGTGTGTATGGGGGGGAGGGGGGAACTACCCCTTAGGATTTGGGTTGATTGTATTATTTAAATTATGTGAACGACGTGTACGCGAGGTGGCGAGCTCGGGCTTATATGTGGAAATTGACCGGTTTAGATTCTTAGGCTTCTTTCATGTATTTATTTGAAATTGTTCACACATGTTATATCTTTTATTTGTCAAATTTACTCTTATATGTTTTATTTGAAGTTGTTACCTCTTTTATTGTAATGTAACCTCCTTTATTATTGAGTTATTCTTAATTGAAATTGTTAATACATGATATCCTTTTATTGTCGGATTATTCTCATGCATTTAGACATAGTTGCTAGTTCATGCCATTTATTTCATTGTTCGTTTATGTTATATACTAAAATTCGAAGTTTGCCATTTCATGGAAATATTTTCATTATTGAGTTTATTCTTAAGCAATTAATTGAAGTTGAAGTCATTGAAAGTCGTTAACCTATTTTAGTTGGAGTTGTTATTTAATGGGGTATTATTCCTTGTTGAGTTACTTTCCCCGCTCATTTTGTTGCTATTGAGATTTTGTACACATCGTGTTTGAGACGTGGGCTATGTGTTATGGTAATATTGGTATTGTTGTTGTTAAGAGGTTGTGGCCTATGGGACTTGTGGTACGAGTTGATATGTCGTGTTGTTGTGATGTTAGCATACGTGAATTTGTTGTATGAGTTGATCATTCTTGTTATACGGATCATAATGTACGCATAAGGGTGGCATCTCACTGTTTTCGTTATGAGGAACATAAGGGTGGCATCTCACTATTGATAATTATGAGGAGTGATACGGGTGGCTAATGATATTGTTAGGGTGGAGTGATACAAATGTCTAATAGAGTGATATGGGTAGCTACTGATAGTGTCAGGGCAGAGTGATATGGCGATCAAAGTGATATAGATGGCTATTATGTTAAATGTCACGGCGGAGCTATAAGGGTCTCTATTATGATGTTATACATACGGAAAGATAAGGGTGGCTCTGTCAGGGATGATATGTGATGGTAGGGGCATTATGTTGATGATATTCTTGTGATGGTTTGATTTTCCTTGTGTATATCGTGCACCTTACGTGACTTGTTGTGTTGCTTTCAATGAGCTACTCGATGTCGTTGATATTACTTGTTGACTTAGACTGTAGTAGTATAACAGCACAAGCATAGATCGTAGCATGCCACTTATACCAGTTCATGAGTATGAGACTTGATATTCATTACTCATGCCCATATATTCTTGTATTATTTGCTTCTATTTGGTGTTGAGCATATGACCACGGCGAGCGAATTGTGATTGTGAGCCCGTGATCACGCCGGGCGGATTGAGATATTGACACTTGAGTTGTCCGTGCGATTGTGATTAATAATGTGGGCACAAGGTGCCATGAGCATATGATTTGTGGTTTGAGACTCGTAACTTGTGTTTATGAGATGAGGTATCTTGAAGCAATTCTATTGTGAAACTTATGTTAGAATGGTTTGAGTATTCGGTTTTCATTGTTTTTCCTTAATTGGTTTCACTAGTACTTAACGGTGTTCAGTTTACTTTAGGATTATATCACATGTTTATTCCTTGTTGTCATTTATTGTTATTGTTTCCATTATTAGCTTTATACTTATTTATTTCATAGGTTATTATAACTAGTAGGTGTCTTGACTTGTACGTCGTCATTACTCCATTGAGGTTAGTCTTGATACTTAGTGGGTACCGACCATGATGTACTCATACTAGACTTCTACACATTTTTGTGTAGATTCGGGTATTGGAGATATCAGACTCGCAGAGTTAGCTTCTTGATCGCGGGGATTCAAGGTTGAGTTGTTTGGTCGTCGTAGTCCCTTGGAGTCCTTTCCTGTTTTATTGTACTTTCAATTTGTTATCCGAACGGTATTGTATTTCAATTTTTGAAATATTTCTATGTATTCAGCTAGAGTTCGTGACTCTGTATTACCTAGTCTTGGGAGATTTTTGTGATTATTGCCGCGTAGGCTTGTTTCGCCTTTATTTCGGTATTTATAGTAAACTCTATTTTAAAATATTATTGTTAAACTGGTTTAATTGTTGTAAGTGTCCGACTTACCTTGTCTTAGAGATTAGGTGCCATTACGAGAACGTAAGGCTGGATTTTGGGTGGTGAAATCGCTAGGCTAATTAAGCCGTTGTACGTTTATATATATATATATGTACATTTTCCATCAGAGTAATGCAGTCTTATTATATATGTACATTTTTTTTCTCTTTATATACGCACGCATAATCTGAACGGTAGTAATAAATTCAATTAAACCAAGCTACACACTCGCACACGCTTTCCAGAATCATATTTTTTCTTTTCCCGATTTTCATATTTTTCTTTTGTCCAAGTTGAAAAAACCAAGACTAAGAACAAGACACATAAGAAATTGGACTAGGAATCTCGGAATTGGAAAAAATAAAGAAATAAAATAGTGATGACGAAATTGCTTATGAGATGTGAAGAATTGAACTTAAGATGGAGTCTGAGCTTATGTAATTATGCAGTTGCAACTTGCAATATAAATATGTACGAACGGTTTAGGGGCATATCAGCGATTACATTATGTTCATTGTTGGAAGCGATTACATTATGTTCACTAGTATTAGTACCCGCGTGATGTACGGACAAATTATTTCAAATTGCGATGTAGATTATTTGAATCATGTACAAATAACCTTAAAATATAAACTTTTCAGATACAAATTATATAACATGAGAATTTAATTATGAAGCAGAATATGAAATTATTGTTTAAATCTCGTAGTAGACAACCAATCTTTTTAATATATATTTGTAGCAACCTAACCCCTTGATTTTAGTACTTGTATTTTGTTCCGCTGTCGATTTTAAAGAATACTAAACATGTCATATTGTGATTTGTCTTGTCTGAGCATATTAGATCATATTATTTTAACAAAATTCACACTATCACTTTATTTTTATCAAGTGCGAGGCTCACCAAGAACTATCAACCTGTGCGCTCTAATTAACAAAATCTTCGCCCACGTCAAATGTTGTCTCTGTAAAAAAAAAAATTAGCGGGGAATGAGTTGCTAGCTCAGTGAGTAATAACACTTAACCACAACCGTTTTTATTTGGGGACAAGTCAGAAAACACGCTAGTATATAAACAGAAATTATCATAAAAATGCCCCTTTCAGAAATAATAAATAATTTTCAGTCTCATCATGTTTTTATTGTAGTATAATACGATTGACAATTCTGTAATAAACTCGGTAACCACTGTATAATATCAATATTCATATTTTGGGAGGCTTCAATGAACGGATCATGTAATCGGTATAACTGTGGACTTCTTCGCAAGAAGTCAAATATAATGGTAGTCCCTACTCGAGGGAAATCGGTAACGGTATACTAGTTCTACCTTCCCACTAGCGAGGGCTATAACGGTAATCTGTAATTACAAGGTGCACCAGGTCTAACGAACCCGCTGTTAGCTACGGGATCCTTCAATGTCTACTCCCATTTATACATGTCTCTGTAATCCGTATATATACTCGTAGAAAATATTCTAAAACAATACATGGCATTTCGGTTCTTATTAAAACATATAATTTCATTTCGATAACAGTAAAACAGATCTAGTGACAACGGAAATATTTAAAACTACGGTAACCATCTCAAATAACTATTTCGGTATCATATCGAGTAAAAGACTTGTCCCACATGCAACTCAGAATAATCGGTAACATATTCATCTTAAAAATCATGTAAATCATGCAAGTTATGAAAACACAAATTGTGGTAAGATTACTACTCACAATACTTGTGCCGAAAAACAGGTCTTTCATTGGCCTTGTCTACTACTGCCAATTTTCTTTGTTAGGAGACGATTGCCTATCTAGTGGCAACATTTGATGTCCTTGAACCTATAGTCAAATTCTATTATCGGGTGATTGATCTGAGTAATACAAGAAAAGAATAATGATGACAGATTCAATTATTTAACCCTAATCGCCACACACGTACGGAAGAATAAGAAAGAAATACAAGACATATCCTATCATGCCCTCGTAGAATCACGATTATGGGAATGGCCGGCTACATAACCATAATTGAGATTCTTGCAATAAAGGAGTCAAATTTCGTGTACACTAATATGTACGAACGGTTTAGGGGCATATCAGCGATTACATTATGTTCATTGTTGGAAAATATTATTGCGTCGGGATGACTCATTAGCTTATTAATAAGTTTACTTATAACCGGTATACACCATTACTCATAATTAAGCTTATTAATAAGTCTACTTATATATAACTGGTAAATACACTATTACTGGTGTAGAAAAAAACAGGCTTTTCCCTAATGTTTCTTATGTGAACAAACGACGGCTAGGGTTAGATTCTCAGCATGCAGCTTAAAGAGGGGCATAGGCTGTAAAGTAGTGATTTTTGCAAATCCACTTCCGTTGAGGAAAAACGCTTAAGTCTCCTATCTAATATTTATGGGCTAAATACTACATCCATGATAAGAAAGTGTTGAATACCCCTAGTCTCTACACTTTGGAAGGTTCATATAACTTTTGCTCCAATTGGCCGGCAAAGAAAATAAAATAACATAGTATTTGAAAGCTATCTATTTTGTATTATCCAAGAATCCAACAACAAAAGGACTAAGAAAGCAAAAATAACAAAAAAGACGGTACGTACATTCAAATAACAATATGTTACTCTATTGGGAAAAAGTAACATATAAAACACTCAATATTGGGATTCTTTTTAGAGAGTATATAAGGACCATCAGAAAAGAAAAGGCTAAGACAGAAAGGCTTTGAGTTTAGGAAAATGTCTAATTATCCCCAGTATAACTTTGATGAAAAGCCTTCCTCTTCATCAAAAATACCATTGATTACATTAGGTGCTAGGGTGGTAAGTCTAGCTACTCTTCTGGTATCATGGGGTGTGTTGCAGACTAGTGAAGTGACTTTTGACAATGGAGCCAGACTTACCTACGATTATTATCGCTCATACAGGTAAATTCCCCCTCTCCTCTCTTTATGACAACTTTAAAGTAAAATTTTCATCAATTTTCGAACAATTTAAATATAATACGCGATGGAGTATTTTAATTAGTAGAGTGTCTTTATCCACTTAAATTCAATCATTTGTCTCTCCGAGTAAAACATAAAAATTCCCTCTCTCCCATTATGGTATTAAAGTTGGGATATTTGGAACTATTTGAGGACGTATCATTAATTCGTATAGTATTATATCTTTTATAGTATAGCAATTAGACAAGTACTTACTAGTATATTATTCTTCCTCTTTTTCATTTTTCTTTTTCTTTTGCAGTTATACGCTTTTTGCTGTGATAGCAGGAGCTATCTACAATGTATTGCACATTCCTTTTGCAGTATATTTCCTCATAAGAAAGAAGCCATTGATAAACCACAAGGTTTTTCGCCAGATTGAACTCTATGGTGACAAGGTTAACAACAATTTCCACTAATTTCGTTCATCTCTATGTAGCTATCAAGAAATAAGAAAATGAAAAGTGGGTCTTATTCATGTTCTCCTAAAAGACTTAATTTATATATACTGATAGCATAAGGAATTTTTAGACCATTAGCGTATTTATATATATACTACAAGTATCGTATTGATTTTAAATTAATTTCTTGAAATTCATGCAGATTATCTTCGGCATAGTAGCAACAGGAGCTGGTACAGCATTAGGTGCAACAATGGATCTACAAAAAACTGTTTACGACGACGATAACTCAAAATATCATGACTTTTTGAACTTGATGTACGTCCCATCTGCATTTGTTTGGGCTGGATTTGTGACTTGTGGAATATCTTCTATATTATCATGTTTGAGTTTCCATAAAGAGTGAATGAACAAGAATATTATGGAAACAAAATGCTTCCCCTATTTGTAGTGACAATTATAGTTTTAAATAATATAGTGTATCCCTTTTTACATGTTTGTTGGTATGCAGGTATCCATTTCATTTATGTTATTATTAGCAATTTCTTTTAATTAGTTATTGATATAGTTTTTATGCAATACGACATCCCAAATAACGAAGAGAGGTGTATATTCTATAGCCCAAGGAATCTAAATCAGGGAAAATATAAATATATATACTCCATTTGTCCCAATGTTTATCGCGGAACTCGAATTTTGAGAGTTACATATTCTAAGTTGATCGCGAATTTGGATAAAGAATCTTTAAGTTTTGAAGTAAAATTATACATTTGAAAACTGCTTATAAAGTACTATAAGTCACTTTAGTTAACAATTCAAAATATATAAAATGCATGTAAAAAAATTACGTAAAATTTTTTTGAACTCGCCACATAAATTGGAATGAAAAGAGTAGCTTTTAAGGTACAGTCAAGACTCAAGTGTTTGTACACTTAGGTACGTAGATATCAACAGTGGCGTACGCAGAATTTTTTATAAGCGGTGTCACTATTTTAAGAAGAGAGCAAATAAATAAATTATTGTAGCAATATCATATTATTGAATGGTATTATGTGACTTGTTGGCATGTTTGGTTGAGGTTCCGAGGGCCTCCTGATAAATTTGGGTGGTTGACAGAAAGATTGGCATTGAGTTGATGCTGCTGAATTTGCTGCTTCTGTCATCTCCGCACCTGCGGATTGGGGACCGCAGGTGCAAGGTCGTAGATGCGATATGGAGATCGCAAGTGCGTAATTTGGCCGTCAGGGGAAGAACAGCAGATGCAGTGTGTTGGACGCATCTGCGGCACCGCAGGTGCGATTCCTGGGGCGCAGATGCGGTCCTGGGCGTTTAAGTGGAAACCGCAGGTGCGGTTGGTTGGGCTGCAGAAGCGGTTGTGCAGGTGCGAGACTAGGACCGCAGGTGCGGAAATTCTGGGGCAGAAAGTATATAAGTTCTCCTTCACGAATTTCAGTCCATTCT